ATCTAGTCACAGCACACAAGGAAGTCGTGATACAAAGTCTTTGATAAAAACGCAGGAGATTACAGGAGAATCAAAATGAGCATGAACACACTATACCACATAATACCAGACAATACCAGACAAAGAACTAACTCAAACTGAGGGCTTATATACACAAACTAAGGAGCTAATTAACAAGGAACTAAGGAAGCTGAGAAACCGAACCTAATCAAATCAGTGGCTATGGAGACAAACAGGTGGAAAACGAGAAACAGAACCGAGAAACAGATCGAAAGACAAACTAAAAACATGACTATATGATTATATATATATGGCATGCCGTTCAGGAAATTACTGTATAATTTGAAGTATGGGTATGGAATGAAACTTAAATACATGGAATGAAACTTGAATATATGCAATGGAACTCTAAATGTTTTGAATGGAAATCTGAATATATAGCAAATTTGAGAATTGAAGACGGGCAGAACCAATGAGGATGAAGGAGATTTGAAGCCATGAAGAACCAATGGTGACGAAGGAGACAACAATGGGGCCCCTGATACCATGTGTAAATTGAACCTCTCTAGCATGATTCTTTCTTTTTTCTTTCTTTCTTTAATAAACATCTTCATCAGTTTCACAACACATGTGCTCCAAATACTCACTACCCAACCAAAATACAGAAATGCTCTGTAAATAGCACAGACCACAACGGAAATGTTTACAGGTGACCCCAATAAGTGACAAACCCGTTCTGATAAAGTTCTGATAAACTTTTTCTTCAGAAAAGTTCTGATAAACATTCAAAATAGTCTGTGGATCGCTTCATTGCAGATAAGATACACCGGCTTTGCCTTCACAAAACTAGGTAGGATAAATGCATAGTTGTCTTTCCATTCTTTTTTGTCTGGCCTTTTTGCTGTCAACTTTTCTCTTAAGACTTTTTTGATAGTGCCATTTTCTCTCACCAGCTAGCTTTAATGTTAACATCACTCACTCTACACACACCGTAATAGCGTACCTCCAGAACGCAAACTATTAAAAAATGCAGTTTAGTACGTGAGAATGCCAAGGAGTGTAAAAGTAGGCTACGTCAAATAATTATTACAATAAGTAGGGTCCATTGTCTAACAAGCAAATTAAAATAATGCACATTTAATTATTCACAATATGGAAAGAGGAAATAAAACAGTTTGTTAAGAGCATGGCATTAATGGGCTTATTCAAGTCCTCTTTTATTTATTTTTTTGTTATTTTTATCCATTCCGCATCTCCCACATATGTGTGTTTTAGCAAGGCCGTCTGTGTTGCAAGTTGGTGAATGAAGATACTTGCCAGGTTACGTGTCACTACTGCTTTATTAATTTATCCACCGCCACACAAATGTGGGTTTTTGTTAATGACTGCAACAGCTCACTACCAGTAACAGAAGACACTGTAACAGTCTGTCACAGGCAATTCCAGTTGCATTTTTCATTAATTAATTTCTTAAATTATCCTTAGACTATGTTCTGGCCCGCCATCTAGTGGCAAATGTTGTTGTTTTTTGGCCCGATGCCAAACTTACTTGCCCACCCCTGCTCTATATTGATCACGAACCGTCATCTAAATGATTTATATTTCCAGGGTGCTCATTGTTCTACTTTCTGTAGAATATACAGGCCATTCTTGGCAGCTTATCTTAGCCGCTTTCACACAGAGATTCCAGAAAATACACGGATAAAGCGACCCGGGATTTGACCCGGGTTCGTTTGATTTTGGTTCATTCACACTGCCAGTGATTTGCCGGAATCAGAGAGTGCGTTCACACACAACCCGTAAAAATCCTGTAAAGACACGTGACATCGATGTGACATGTAATGTCTCAGCAGCGTGTATAGTTTGCTTATGAGCTGCGATTTCCCTCTGGAGAAACCACGCTTGTGCATTTTTTTCTCTGATTCGATCATAAACTAGCGCATTACGTACCGTTTCACTAGCCTGCTTTCACTTCACTTCACTTCATCATTACGACACGACATTGGTTACGGCTTTTGTTCACACAGCACGCGTTTTCGGTCGGATTTCCCGGGATCAACGTGCTGTGTTCAGTCATCTCTTTACATTCTCTCTTTGTCCAACAGGTACACAGAAACCTGCCACAAACTGCAACAAGGACATCTTAACCGGCATACTGTGATCTCTAGAGCAGAGTGCAGAACTGTTTATCACTTCATTTGCCTGGTTAATTAGTTCACTCTTTATTAGTTTGTGTCCAGAAATGAAAACACGTAATTGATGTTTGTGTTTCTGAACACTGGGTACTAGTGTGAGAGGGTTTCACTTCAGACACCAAGAGCGAGGAAACACTAATGAAAACAGGTCAATGCGCCCTTGCATCAAGCAATATTTTCACTGTTTAGAGTGTTTGAAACACATGCAAGTCATTATTATTAAGCAAGTTATTCTTATTAGCTATACTATTATCTACATATATAAGAAAACAATAAAGTTTTAAAGAATAAAGAAACATGCAAAAACACCAAGAAAGGTGCACAGGTTGATATTATTAATTTAGAAAAGATGTGGATACCAGCATGTCTCATTACCTCTCAGGTATTGTAGGTAGGATTTTTTTTTAAAAACTTTTTGCCAAATTTGTTTAAACTTTCTATATATATCAATGCATAATTAAAATGTAAGTACTCTGGAAAAGAGAGTATAAAAATCGAGTGTCTGTAGTCCTCTCAGGGCTGTAATAAACACAGCTACTTATCTCCATTCACTTCCACCCCCTCCATTCTGGGCTCCTTCCAAAACCACGCCCCCAAAACACATGAACGCGCGATGCCGACAGCTCACAGCTGGAGGACGCGCTTACCAGCGCCGAGCGGAGAGGAGCAGTGCATGTAGTGACATCATGTCAGACTCACATGTAAAATACCTAACTTTATCATTATGAATATAAACAACTAACATGGCTGTTAGTACTCACTATCAAGCTCGCATATCGATACTGGTACAGTTTAAAATATATTGAGTTTGATTCGTTAAAGAGGCTATATGCGTTTTTCTGTAATTTAAACTCGCGACTGACACCTGTGGCCAAAAAACAGAACTGCTCTTCCTTTCTGCTCACTCTCGTACGTGCACACTTCACAAGTCATCTGCTGCAAGGAGGTCAACATTATGTTTACAGAGGTAAGAACAGTCAAATACATATATTGTTTGAGATAAGTGCTGGCAAGCGGTGGTGGCAGAGTGATCTGAAACGTTTAACATGAACGCGCTTGACGTCACATCCGCCGACAGCGCGGGAAAAATCCGACCCGACAGAAAATAGGAAAAATAGGATACAGGCTTATAGGTGCACCCACTGTGAGCGGACAAGGTGTCAGTATGCTCAACAGGAGATGTTTAAGTCATAAATGGTAAAATAAAAAGGCTATTGTTACGTTTATTTTGGGGAAAAAGTTATATATAGTCCCTTTAACGAGCTAGTAACATAAAGCAAAGCTAAAAACAGGTTGCATTGATACACGTTTTCCCATTACAATCATGTTACACTGTGATGAAGGTGAATTTCGTGTAAGATTCATAACATATAGCCTACGCCGTGTTTTGCATGTAATTGTGTCTCTTACTAGTCTCTTACCCTCCTCGAGTCAAACGAGTGCGCGCATGTAGCAGCGGGGGTGTTGCCATGGTTGCGAGAGAGTGACAGTCGCCTAAGCCAATCCTTTGTTTCGTCCCGGAAGGAAATAATGAGCTGTGTTTAGTGCAGATTAAACGGTCTAGAGTCACTCGATTTTTATACTCTTTTTATCAGAGTACTTACATTTTAATTATGCATTGATATATATGGAAAGTTTAAACAAATTTGGGAAAAAGTTTTTTAGACCAAAAACGACCTACCCTACCTTGGTTAACCTTGCGACTGCTTGAAAAACCACACTCACTTTCAGTTGGATGCAAGACTTGCGCAATAATGTGCTTACTCATTTGATCGTTCACGAGTCATGTGAGGGCAAAATGGAAAATTCAAATACATTTTAACGAGAGATCAAGAAGGCAGACAGAGGAAAGCAAATGTACCCACATATTCACACATTCAAACCAAGTGTCAGAATTACATTTACACTTACCACATGTGAGAAACCTCCGTGTAACTTGTGCTTTGGTTCAACGGTAAACTTTAACTTGTTATTTAAATGGTGAGATAAAAGACTTAAGGGCACAATGTCCATAAAGTGGACCCATTTCTGTTTCATGAATAAGAAATCTACCTTTTACGTAACTTTGCTAACTTGTCATTTGTTTTTGTTCAGGTGTGTGTTGAAGCCATTTAACAGTAAGTGTGCAGTAAATTAAATGTTTTTTAAATGCGTGTGAGAGATCTGTGTTACGCTGTTTTCTGAACTCAACCACAATTCAGTGACATCAGTTAAAACAGGAAAAGTGCAAAAAGTCTGTTGTGCTTGCAAAGGTGGTCTCGCTGAGCCCAATCACAAAACTTCACAGATCTGCATATAATCGACGGAAATGACCTAGATTCAGTGAGATACATACAGTACACTTACAGAGTATTTATGAAACTAGAAATGCTGTTTGTTCAAAATTAAAGTTGACATATATAAAACAAAGTCATATAAACTCAAACATACCCAAACAAACTTAAAGACTAAACTAAAATCACACACACAGAAACATCACGTCTTGACATAGAAGATTTTTTGGTAACGCTTCCTTTTACAGTCCTGTTACCTATGTACTTATTATAGTAATTATAATTACTGGGAAATAACTAGGTACTAACCCTGAACCTACCCCTAACCCATGTACTTACCTTATATAAGCCAGTACTTTCTAGGTAAGTACACGTAAGTACACATAAGTACTGTAAAAGGAAGCGTTACCGTTTTTAGGCTTCCATGAGCTACTTCATTGTTTCGATGACTTATCTTGAAGTATCTAGTTATTCTGAATTGTTTAAAGTTGTAATAATGAAGAATGAGTAGAAGTGTGTTTTGACTGGTGTATTTTTCCTCCAGCTGTGGTTGTGTTGGTCTCAGAGTCTCGGGAAGGCCATGTGTTTCTCTCAGTGGGGTTGAAGAGGAGGAGGACCGTGAGAGCTGGGCAGGGGTGGAAGAGGACGCATGCTTTTGGACGGCCTGTGGGACTCAGTTTTCTGCATGTACTGAACATCAGGCTGATCTGTGTAGTCCGGCATTAAAGAGACGAGGCGAAACTCAGCTTCCTCTGCGGAGACAGACAGAGACAGCAGAGCGTGAAACGACTGGTTGGTTTGAGAATATTCAGATATTTGATATTAATTTCCCCCTTCATTTATACTTATTTGTGTGGTTGTGAAACACACCCCATTATCACCTCAATCAGACCTGCAAATGGGTGTTTTCAGCTGTTCAAGCGCACGGCGAAGGAGATACTATAGGACACTTTGGTAACACTTTACTTGAAGGGGTGTGCATAAGACTGACATGACACCTTCATAACCATGACATGACATATGTCATGAATATGAAGTAGGGTTTATGCATGTTTATGACAACTGTCATTAAGTGTCTTTCGCTCAATAATGACATTTTGAATGCAAATATGATATTGTTTAGGATGTCTTTGTTATGACACCTTGACATAAACCATAACATCATAACCTGTCAGTGTCTTTGTCATGACAACTTGACATTAAATTAAGTTAAACTGTCATGTGGTTGGTTTTGACACTGGCTAACATGAGGCCATTATAACTGTGTCATGAATATTTTTCGTGACCTCAACTACAGTGGTACACATTGAATTTGTCATTAAACAGTTATAATGGCTTCATGACAGCCAATGTCAAAACCAACCACCTGACAGTTTAATGTAATGTTAACCCATAAAGCTAAGTGCTTTCTTAAGTTTGATCATTAATCTGCTATGTGATGTTTATGACATATTTATGAGAGGTTGTGTTGTCTTAGTAATGTCAAGTTGTCATGGCAAAGACACTGACAGGTTCTGATGTATTTGTTTATGTCAAGGTGTCATAACAAAGACATCTCAAACAATGTCATATTTGCATTAAAAATGTCATAATTGAGCGAATGACACTTAATGACAGTTATCACAAACATGCATAAAACTTCCTTCATATTCATAGCATGTGTCATGTCATGATTGTGAAGGTGTCATGTTAGTCTTATGCACACCCCTTCAAGTAAAGTGTTACCGACACGTTAATCCAATACTTGAACAAGAAAACGTACAACCACAAATCACAGAGAACTGAAATAAAGCTAGAAAGGGACTGACTGAAACAGAGGCTTAGTGGCTGTTTACACGACACCGCTTTCAACTAAAAACGTAAAACTTTTTGCCCGTTCGTTTACACGACTGCGGCGTTTTGGTTGCTTGAAGATGCAAACTTTTGAAAACGGGTTTCAAAGTGCAAGTTTTTGAAAATAGTGTCGTGTGAACAACAAAAACGCAAATCTCTGAAGACGATGATGTCATGCAGATGCCTTCTTCTTCTTCTTCTTCTTCTCTTGATTGATGGCGGATTGCAACCAACTTTTAAGTGCATACCGCCACCTACTGTACAGGAGTGTGTAACATCATGCTATTTAATTGTTCTAATATTCTACCCATCAACCCTGTGGCTTTAAGAAATTTAAAAAGTGCCGTTCTGGTGATTATAATCCCTTTTCCCTCTCCTTCTGTTCCCAGTATCCCCATCAGATTCCACTCCTGTCCTGCTTCCTGAACCCCATCTTGAAACACCCGTCTTTACACTTCATATAATATACAGTGTAATATGTTCTCATGCAAATGCCTATTACGTGTTCAGTCTATATTGTTTCATCGCCATCTACTGGCCTGGAAGCAGAATACAGTGTTTTTTTATTTGTTTTTGTGGATCCATGTGAATGGAGATCGCTTTGACAATGGTGTCGTCTCTACGCGAAAAACTTCTCAGTTTCAAGCATATCGTTGTCGTGTAAATGTACCCTTAAAGATTGACATAATAGACCAGATACACCTGAACTCAATCAATTAGTTATTAACCATAGTGACAAACAGGGAGAGAATGGAGAACTGACCTAATTGAGGACGAACAAAGAAACTCAAACATGAACTGAACAGAAAACTGAAAGCATGCCAGCTCTTACCCGTGGCCTTCCTCTTGTTGCGTGCGCGGCAGCGACAGACACAGACGAGGCAGATGATGAGGAGAACCAGGAGGAAACTCGCTCCTCCCGTCAGGATCACCAGCATCCACCAGAAGTCCAGGCCAAACAGCAACTTCTTCTTCTTCTTCTCAGACACATCTCAAAACAAAGAAAACATTTTCATCACCACTGTTTATAATTTGATATGAATTTAATATGTGACAATGAGACTGTGAATTGAGACACACACAACTAGCATAGCGACATGTGAAATCAATGGTCAATTATAGAGTTTAGCATCATTATACAAACAATATTTAATCACAGAATTTTGTGATTGAATAATCAGAATCAAGTATTCCAAAGTACTGTAATATATCCTCCTGGGACCCGAGAATAGACTTTTGTCCACTGTAGTGGACATTATATATTAGTGAATTTCTCTGACATCATACATGTCACATGACACAACCTGGGTGTCCTGTAAAGAGCACATTCAGGACTTTTCAGAGATACCAAATGTGTGGAGGTTTCACCATGAAAACAACTTCTCCTTGGTCTTTAAAAATGTCTGACATTAATGTAGTGATCAAATGTAGCATTCTTATGGAAATATGATAATATATTGTAATTATAATTTAAATTGGACTACTTTTCAAATTGTATTTCATAAAACAACATCTCAGGAAAATGTTAAGGGGTTTCAAATAAAAAAAAATACTTTCTGTTACAGAACAGGGCATTGATTTCAAACGTGTAGAGGACATCAGGACTAAAATCATGTTTATCAGGCATTCTGGGAGACACAACAAGTGAATATGGAAATAAATTATACATCAATATTCCTATGAAATATTAGATATTATTATTAAAATGTTGCCAATTATAACTCCAATTATTACACTTATTTTTTTATTAAATGTTGCTCCAAGAACACATTAATGTGCAAATTAGATACAGTGTATAGATACATTGCTTTGAATGGGAATATTAATTTATGGCCATTTTACCCACATATTGCAAAAAGTAAAATGGTGTATCAATTCATTCCATTATTTCTTTCATAACATAGTTGAGAATAATCTTCATACAAATTTTGGTTGAAAAAATCCTGAAACCCCAAAATGTATTGGTGATTGAAAAAAAATCCCATTGTTTTTGCCTATACATATAATTTTTCATGTCATTTAATTTTTTAAACAACTTAGTCCTGGCGTCCACTACAGAGGACATAGCATAACGTATGAATAAAATATTATTTTATATATGTGTTTTTTTTTTTTTTTACCATTTGTGTATTGTGCTATAAACAGTGTGATGACATGGAAAAAAAACTAAATTCAAAACACTTTTTTTTTCTGGGTCTCAGGAGGATATGTTATGTAAATGTAATATATGATCCTTTTTTTGCGAAAGAACATTTTAACAATAATGATATAATTTCATATAATATGTATTCATAATTTCACTTAAGAAACATTCAGGTTGAGAAAACAAGCTTCATAACAGAAATCCCTCAATGGCAGAAAACATGATCATGAGGAACTTAGTGACAAAAATAGACAATTACCCTCATTTCTATTTCCGTTGTTGTTGTTCTCTTCTTCATCGGCATTTGTTGCATGACCTTTAAAAGGGTTATAATACATCTAATGAACCCAATGTTGTCATACATGAGAATAAACAGTGATTAATTGTGCTCTATAACCTGTGTCAGAGCACTTCGGCTGAACATCTTTAGCTGAGGATCTGCTGATCATGTTTGTGAGTGTGCATGAGAACGTGTCTCCAGGTTTGAGCTCAGACGAGCTGACATGTAAGACGGCACGCGTCGAGTTGGACTTCTCTCCGTTTCTCATCCAGGACACGAGAACCTCACTGCTGTTCAGTGGACTACAACTCAGATCGACTCCGTTTGCTACACACTCGACCATGACTGTAGGTTCAGGCACTCGCTCTGAAACACACACAACAACAGCAGGCTCAATGCTGACACACACTTGCTCTTGCTTTGAACGGGTAACGCTTTTGATTACAGCCCGGAAAGTACTGTGTAATTAAGAGGAATTTACAGAGTAACTTTCAGTAATTATAGTGTACCTATAAAGGACTTACATGTAAGTATAAGGGAACAATATGTAAAGTTTGGGGAATAAAGGGGTAACAACCAGGAGAATTAAAAAAATATTTATACTGTAAGTATTATAGAACTAAGGGGAACTTATTATACTATTATGATACAACAATCTTACATTTGGGAGTAATTTAGCGAGAACACACACTGCGTACCTTTTTGTAATAACTGTGTACCAATACATACTGTATAGGCTTTTTAAAAATGACATATTTATGCATTTATACTTTTATTTTATTTATTTTTTGATAGCAAAAGTGCAGATGTTTAAGTTTGGGCTAACATGTTTCAAGGCAAGAAAAGCTAAGACTATTGCAAAAATTTTTTAAATATACTGGGAAATATATCTGGTTTCATGTGGTTACAGGGTAAGTGGTGCTTGTATAATAAATAAAGGTTTCCGAGTCAGTGATATAAGATTGTGTGTATGCATTTTTATTGTACTTACCCTGTAACTACATGGAACAAGAGGGTAACAAGCACCACTAATGAAACAAGAGTATCTTTCCCCAATATTTAAGCAAAAGTTGCAATAGTTTTCGTTTTCAGTGCACTTTTGTTAAAAAGATTACATTTTAAAAATTACAGGGTACATATCTATTATATCTATTTATAAAGCCTATACAGTATGTACTGGTTCACCATTATTTCAAAAAGGTACGCAGTGTATGTTCTTGATAAATTGATCACAAATGTAAGATTGTTGTATCATAATAGTAGAATAAGTTCCCCTTAGTTCAATAATACTCACAATATTAATTTTTTTTTTACATGTAAAAAACGTTAAAGTTACCCCTTTATTCCCCAAACTTAAAATATTGTTCCCTTATACTTATATTTTAAGTACGTTATAGGTACACTATAATTACAGAAGGTTACGCTGTAAAATTGCTTTAATTACGCAGTACTTTCATGGAGGTTTGAATCGCTGCAGACCACAAGCTAGTTCGTACCTTGTACACAGAGCTGGTGTGTGCTTTTCTTTATTAACTTTCCGTCTTTGTCGTAGACTTGGCTTTCGTATTTCCCAGATTGTTTTTTCTGAATGTTCTCCACGATCAAGGATCCATAGCGGTCAACATCCAAAACGCGTGTCTTAACATTTGAGCCCCTTTTGAAATATACCCTGATTTGATTATGTGTCCACATCAGTTCGTCACTTTCCTTTGGTAATTCTCCAATATCCAGTGAGATCTCAACTCTTTCACCCACTGCTTTGTACATACATGAGGAGGATACAAATTTACCTAAAAAAAAAAGTGGTGCAAAAAGTTATTTTTATTTAACTTATATGGATATTCTGTTGTGTTGCGTATCAAGCACACATGACCTTTCACTATTGCTGACATGACTTTATATGACAGTATGAGAAAAGACTGACATCTTAAAACACTTTTACTTAAAGGAATGGGTCTTACATGGGAAACACATGAGTCATGACTGGGTGAATTAATTATTCATATGAAACCATACTGAATGCTGTGAAATGTGATTAGAAGTAATATAATTTGTTAAAAAAAAGTATCTGTAAAAAGCAGAAAATAAAATTGGGTTTCTGTTCAACAACTTTAAGGACTGATAAATTAAACAAAACAAAACCAAAAACCACACAATTGATTTCTTAATTGGTGAACAGATAATTCAGTAAGAAGAACATTTGTCTATAATCAGACAATTACAGAATATAAATATATATTTGAACAACTTACCAGAGGAGAAGATGAAGATTAAATAGAAGAGGAGAATTAATGTGAAGTTTATCATCATTTTCACGGTGGTCTGTGAGACGTTTTGTTGTAAGATGTCAAGCTCTCAGTGGTTTAGTTTCCTGTAAGTGTGTGTCTGGGAGTGTGTGTGAGTCACGCTGTAATTCAGTGATTTCAGTATTCAGACATTACAATGAGATTATTGTGTGTTGAGAATAAAACTATAGAAAATTCATGGTTTATATATTGTAGTCTCTGCATTGTTAATAGTCTATATACAAATAGTGACTTCTTCATTCATTGTCACTGTAATTTACAAATTATTACTTTTTAATCAACTCGTGTGTAAAGAATGAGTTCAATGTTTTTTTATGCTTTGTATCACACTGTGTGTGTGTGTGTGTTTGTGTGTGTGTGTGTGTGTGCCTGATATAGGTTACGTGAACCAAATGTCCCCACAGAGATATTTTTGACTTTGTGGGGACTTTTTTTTTGTCCCATGTGAGGAAAACAGCTTATAAACCATATTAAGCATATGCTTTTTGACAATGTAAAAATGTAGAGAGTTTTGTGTGATGGGTGTGTCTAGGGGAGAGAATATACATCTACATTACATCTACACAGAGCTCCCATGAAAACACAACATAGTGTGTGTGAGAGAGAGAGAGAGAGAGAGAGAGAGAGAGAGAGAGAGAGAGAGAGAGAGAGAGAGAGAGAGAGAGAGAGAGAGAGAGAGAGAGAGAGAGAGAGAGAGAGAGAGAGAGAGAGTGTGAGTTTAATGTAGGCTATTTGAAACATTTAAAAAATACTTAATATGAATGCAATTAATGTGCAATGAAGGTCTAAAGCACTTAATTTATGCATGCTTATCTATGTATTTGTTTTGCAATTGATCACAATCATTTCAATCTCTTTATTTAAAAAGTCTTTGAAAATCACTTTTACTTGTTATTTCTCTGAAACGCATTTGTCCGCTGAACATGTGCCGTAGCTCCTTCAGTGCAGTGCTGCCGCCTGGAGGACATGTGGAGTACAGGCGCTTCCCTGCAGTTTCAGTTTTACATCCAGTTTCTTGCCCGTCACACTTAAAGTGCAGTAGGCTAAATGTTCAAACAATTGCGCTAAAAACTGTGTTTATTATTACCTTAATAAACTAAAATACTTGGAAACAAATGCCAGTTTACAACTTCCAACAACACGAAGAATTATTTTTGCACAGATAATATAAATAATAACACACATTCGCACATTCAAGTTTAAAATGGCCGCGCTCACTACATTAAAAATAAGGCTGAAAGATTATAAAAATCATTGGGTTATTATTATAGTTCATTGGGTTGAAAGTAACCCAACAGTTAAATTTACCTTTTATTTTTATTCATTTCATTATTTTTAATAAATCCACGATGTTAAAAATGACCCAACATTTTTTTTTTTTTTTTTTAGGGGGGGTACACA